GGAGGCCAAGGCGGGTGGATCATGAGGTCAGGAGTTTGAGACCACCCTGGCCAAAACGGTGAAACCCGTCTCTACTAAAAATACAAATATTAGCTGGTTGTGGTGGCACATGCTTGTAATCCCAGCTACTTGGGAGACAGGCAGGAGAATCACTTGAATCCGGGAGGCAGAGGTTGCAGTGAGCCAAAATTTTGCCTCTGCACTCCAGCGGGAGAATCACTTGAGCCCAAGACTTGGAGACTGCAGGGAACTATGATCCGGCCAGATTTTAGTTTTATTTATATTCCATATTACAACTACAGGAGTCAAATTATAAGCAAGTTTGTTTCAAGATCTTCAAGAGAAGCCTAGATTTTATTTGCAAAATATTATAGGTAGAGCTCTTTAATAAAGTTTATCCTTCTTTTCATTAGGTTCATAAAAATTTGGGACTAGAATTGAAAATTTTTTCAAATAAAAAATACAGAGCATGCAGTTGGCATTCAGTATTTTTATTATCTTTTATTATTTCCTCTGAATCCAACTTACCATTTTGTTTTTTTGTTATATATTATTTATTAATGTTTTGTTTATTTTATAAAGACAGGGTCTTGCTCTGTCACCTGATATGAGAGCTGGTAGTACAGTCAAGAAGGGAAAGGCTCGAGACAGAGCAAGATCCCGTCTTTATAAAATAAACAAACAGGCTGTGCGTGGTGGCTCACACCTGTAATCCCAGCACTTTGGGAGGCTGAGGTAGGCGGATCACCTGAGGGTCAGAAGTTTGAGACCAGTTTGGCCAACATGGTGAAACCCTGTCTCTACTAAAAATAAAAAATACAAAAATTAGGCTGGCATGGTGGCGCATGCCTGTAATCCCAGCTACTTGGGAGGCTGAGGCAGGAGAATCACTTGTACCTGGTAGGTGGAGGTTGCAGTAAGCCAAGATCAACAGGAGCTTTTTCACCTTTATATGATTTATTTTCTTTCTTTTTTCTTTCTTTCTTTGTTCTTTCTTTCTTTCTTTGTTCTTTCTTCCTTTCTCTTTCTTTCTTCCTTTCTCTCTCTCTTTCTGTCTTTCTTTCTCTTTCTTTTTTTGTAGAGATAGGTGTTGCTATATTCCCCAAGCTGGTCTTGAATTCCTGGCCTCAATGTTCCTGCCTTCCAAAGTATTGGGGGCTGGGATTATGGGCATGAGCCACCCCACCCAGCTTCTTACTGATACCTGTATTTTTTGAGACACAGGGTCTCACACTGTCACCCAGCCTGTAGTGCAGTGGTGTGGTCATGGTTCACTATAGCCTCGAACTCCTGGGCTCAAGTGATCCTCCCACCTCAGCCTCCCAAGTAGGTGGGACTACAAGCATGCCTAGCTAATTTTTAAAAATTTTGTTTTGTAGAGACAGGGTCTCACTATGTTAACCAGGCTGGTTTTGAAATCCTGGCCTCAAGTGATCCTCCTACCTCAGCCTTCCAAAGTGCTAGGAATACAGACATGAGCCATGTTGTCTGGCTTTGATTTTTTTTTAAATATGAATCTATTACCTATTTAGAATAAATTAATTTTAAATTTTTTAATAAAATAAAATTTCTACCTTCATAACTTGTGATGTTTACAAAATATCTACTTTGCAAAATATCTTTAGTTTGTATTAAATGTGATTATGATTGCTAGCTATGACAGAGAAGTATGTTATGGGAAGACTACTTAACATAGAATTGTGCATGAGCTTATACATAAACACAAACATAATGTAGTTCTACATCTAGAAATTACATTAATTTTATTATTTTCTGTTTCCTAGAAGAATGGTCTCAAAACTCTGGTCACATTTTCCTATTGGTAAAAAATGTTGATCATATATTCCCATTAAATGTATGTTTATTTACAATTTATAATAAGTACACAGACACCTTAACTAATGCGTACATTAAAAACATTAACAAAAACTTACATTTTAAAAAGCAAGGTGAACAAATTAGAGGGAGACAGCTGGGCAGGGTGGTTCACGCCCGTAATCCCAGCACTTCGGGAGGTCGAGGCAGGCAGATCACGAGGTTGGAAGTTCAAGACCAGCCTGAGCAACATGGAGAAACCCCATCTCTACTAAAAATACAAAAAATTAGCCAGGCATGGTGGCGCACGCCTGTAATCCCAGCTACTTGGGAGGCTGAGGCAGGAGAATCACTTGAACCCGGGAGGTGGAGGTTGCAGTGAGTCAAGATTGCGTCATTGCACTCCAGCCTGGGCAACGAGAGCGAAATTGCATCTCAGGTACCTGTATCCCGGCTACTCAAGAGCCTGAGGCAAGAAAATTGCTTGAACCCAGGAGGTGGAGGTTGCAGCGAGCCAAGATCACACCACTGCACTCCAGCCTGGGCGACAACAGCAAAACTCTGCCTCAAAAAAAAGAAAGAAAATTAGGGGGAGACATTCTAATGCTTTTCCTCTACCACCCCAAAAGATTATTTTGTGCATCCCAGGGTGCACCCGTCTCACTTAGATGTTGTTCTAGAATATATCAGTTAAAGCTGCTGAAGGATCTCAGACATGTGTTCTGTTGAAGTGCCTACACGTTCACCAAACTTAATGAAAACAGTTAAAATGGTCCTTGACTTAAGCTTCCAGAACTCTTAGAAGTTCCTTAATTCACACACAAAGCAATAAAACTGGCCCCAATAAAACACATTAGCCTCAATCCTAAGCAGTTTTTGATAACCATAATCATAGGCTAATTTGCACAGCCTCTGAACTTAGCAATTGTGGCATTAGTGTACATGAGACTATTTATCACAAAAAATCAAGTAATCTAGGGAAAAAAAATGGGAGAGGGTATGTGTAGCAATTTTTTTTAAGTCACAAAATAGTTTTTGACTTAAAAAAATGTATAAAAAGATATGATAAGGACAATACAAAACTAAACCTGTTATCTGCAGTCTTTTTAGGATTAGTCTGTATTGGATATAGTATCATGACTTTCCTATCCGGTTTCAAACCACTCAAAGCTAGCACTAGAAAGACCCTTGCCAAAGTTGAAAGGTTTCACGTGAGAGTTTTAGTAAAGTTTAGTAACTTTATCCATCCACAGTGTGCTGGATATCAGGGATGATACAAAGTTAAATACGACCATGACTTTTAAGATCAATGACATTTTTATTTTTTTGAAGCTGAGTCTCACTCTTGTCACCCAGGCTGTAGTGCAGTGGTGCAGTCTCAGCTTACTGCAGCTTCCACCTCCTGGGTTCAAGTGATTCTCCTGCCTCAGGCTCCCTAGTAGCTGGGATTACAGGCAGCCGCCACAACACCCGACTGATTTTTTTTTTTTTTTTTAAATATAAGACGGGGTTTTACCATGTTGGTCAGGCTGGTCTTGAACTCCTGACCTCAGGTGATCTGCCCGCCTTGGCCTCCAAAGTGCTTGGATTACAGGCGTGAGCCACTACGCCTGGCCAATTTTTGTATTTTTAGTAGAGATGGGTTTCACCATATCGGCCAGGCTGGTCTCAAACTCCTGATCTCAGGTGATCCACCTGCCTCAGCCTCCCAAAGTGTTGAAATTACAGGTATGAGCCACCAAGCCTGGCCAGTAACATTTAGAAATTAATAATCTGATCATGGAGAAAGTTTATACTTATGAATAGAATACCAGAAATTACTGCTCTAGAAGAGGCCTCCTAGAGGAAATGATTTGATGTGGATGATGAAGATGCATTGTAATTCAGGAAGAAAGGAAGGAGAAGAGGAGGATAATAAACATAAAAAGGTCAGGGAAAGAGAAAACCAACACAGTACCTAATTGGATCCTTTCATATATATATATTAATGTAATCATACATATAATCATAATCTCCCAGAAAGCCATATGAAATAGCCATTATCAACTAGGCACCGTGGCTCATGCCTGTAATCCCAGCACTTTGGGAGGCTAAGGCAGGTGGATCACGAGGTCAGGAGTTAGAGACCAGCCTGGCCAACGTGGTGAAACCCCCGTCTCTACTAAAAATACAAAAATTAGCTGGGTGTGGTAGCGGGTGCCTGTAATCCCATCTACTTGAGAGATTGAGGCAGGAGAATCACTTGAACCTGGGAGGCAGCGGTTGCAGTGAGCCAAAATCTCGCCACTGCACTCCAGCCTGGGCGACTGAGCAAGACTCATCTCAAAAAAACAGAAATAGCCATTATCCCCACTTAACTGGTGAAAAAAGTGTGAATTAAGAAAGTTAAGTAACTTGCACAAATCAGACATGCAGTTATTTGCTGGAGAGTTGAATTAAGATGTGCAGTAGCTGGATAGATGCTAAAAATGAGTGCAACTTAGATTATACCAAAATGTCACTGGATTATTATTTGTAAGGATACAGAGGAGTTTTATTTACCAGAACTATTCTTGGGGAACATAGTATATGTGTTGGGAAAATAGAGAATATATAAGTTGTTCGGTGTGCCAGTGGAATCAAGATCCCCTTGGGGTATGCTGGATAGCTGGCTGTGAAACTCTTCAAAAGAGTATGCTTTCCTAAATGGTATCTGCACATTTTCCTGTAATACTCAGGAGTACCAGCCTTTATTTTCTTTTTCTTTTTCTATACCAACAAGAATGAGCTTGGAAAGCCTCATCCATAAATCAATGTTAAACAGTTGTTTGAGGACTATCAGCGAAGAGGAGTCCCAGTTGTTCTGAGTACGCATACATGGGTTGATACTAAATCTGCTTAACTTCATAGTTTGTACCCTTGGTTGTGTACCATGCTGCCTCTAACGTGTGACTGAAATGCAGACAGACAGATAGGTAGATAGATACAGAGATGGGAAAGGATTGTGAATGGTGGTTCTAAAGATTGTGCTACTGGTAGTCTTCTCACAGGAGTATCTTGATGTTGTGTTTTCTTCAACTTTGTATCATAATCACACATTTTCAGGCAGCTTAAATCCTTTAGGGAACAAAAACAGGATAAGAATGAGTGAATAGATAGGTCTCCACTGTTAAAGAAATCTACCACTATATATTTGTTATCCTCAGGAAATTACTACAATCAAGGAGAGACTCGTAAGAAAGAACTTTTGCAGAGCTGTGATGTTTTGGGGATTCCACCCTCCAGTGTAATGATTATTGACAACAGGTAATATATTTTTTAACAATGTAGAAATTTATTGGCAATAAATATGCAGTGGTATACTCAAAAGACACCCAAAAAACTAACGTGAGTGGCTAAGAACATCTTGTATGAAAAGTCTAAGTGTGGTGTGGTGGCTTACACCTGTAACCTCAGCACTTTGGGAGGCCGAGGCTGGTGGATTGCTTGAGGTCAGGGGTTTGAGATAGTCTGACCAACATGGTGAAACCCTGTCTCTACTAAAAATACAAGAATTAGCTGGGTGTAGTGGAGCATGCCTGTAATCCCAGCTACTCAGGCGACTGAGGCAGGAGAATCACTTGAACCTGGGAGGCAGAGGTTGCAGTGAGTCAAGATCGAGCCATTGCACTCCAGCCTGGGCAACAGAGTGAGACTCCATCTCAAAA